ACTGGGCCCGCGAGAAGATTCATTCATTGGACAACTGCTGGCAGTCTTTGCTCTTAGAGCGGAAACAATATGTACCAGAACAAGACCAACCAATCGTTGTGAAAGGTTCTGAGTCTCTAGCCTCGTGACGTTCATCGAAATGTTCCTAATGCATAAGCTTTTGCCCCAGCCAGCTTGCATGATGACAGGTCGGCAGCCACGGAGGCATATGCCATAGCTGGGTTGGCCTAAGGTCTGTACGAAAGACTTGAGGCTTGCGGGTTTGCGGCCGTAAGCTTGGGAATTCGGGTTGTGCGGTTTTTCGCGAGGGAGGAGGCTAGGCGCCAGGCCAAGTTTGGCGGCATCCTCCGGCATGACATGTTCTGAACAAAGGGAGGCAGTGGGCCTTTCGAAGTACATAATACATACATCCAAAGCGTAAGTGCAGGCTTTAGAGTCTACGCAACCCCGCAACCACCCAAGAGGTCCTCACTCGCACATTGCCGATGTGACCTCCCTATGTCGTAGCACGCGGGCTTTGGGCTGAATTCGGGTTCCTTCTGGAGGTCCCTGTTGCGGTCGTGTGGTTTATCAGTGCTGGCATAGAATCGGCTTCGATTTCATGTTTGACCAGCCGGCTCGCGGTTCGACTCCGCGTCTTCACATCACCGGAAAGACAGCCTAACACCATCCCTCTGCTCACGATTGATGCACGATTGTTTGAAGAAAGGTCTCATAAGGGGTAGGAAGATGCTACTACTGAAGTCACACCGCCCTCGCCGTAGAACCCATACGAATCACCTTCTGTTTTTCGGCCCGCGAAGAGCAACGCATCTACACTTCGAATTGCTGTCGCGTGTCGGTCACACAGTTACACGGGCGATGTGGGCGACAATGGCCTCCGTCGGCATGACGGAATACACGTCGCTGCTTATGTTTTCGTCTGATTAGTCACTTATTTCTTATTTGGCAACCTCTGTGCTCGATCGCATGTCGACCTGTCTGGAGCAGGATTGACTAAACTAAAGGCTCGCATGCACACAAGCAGAATCCGAATCGGAGCCGCAGCCGGACGCGTACATCCTGTTCTGCACTTCCTTCGGAAACACAGCAGTCTGGTCTAGCAGGGCCCGGTAGCAACGGCTTAGTCATTAAGGGCGTTGACATCGCTGAACGGACGTGGAACCCGGCCATTAGCTCATGCTCAGGATGCGACCCGCTGTTGGACTTGTACGCAGGCTGCACGCACCTAGCTGGGGCTTTCCAGGAGGTGGTAGAGGGGAGAAGGCATAATTTCAGACACTAGCCTAGCTCTGCGACAGTTCTTGACATATTGAGCAAAGTCTTAGTGGACAGTCGCAAGATGAAGGGCGGATCAGTCGAAACCTGTTCCAAACAGACACCGTTCTGAATTGAACACGATGTTTGTCGTCTTTCTGGTCAGTGCTCGTCGACACGTTTCTCAGGGCCTTTCTCCTTGAACCGGTCTAGTCCGCAATCCCTGCGGCGGCCTTGTAACACCATGGCCATAGCCATGGCGAGCCGCGTGATACGTGCCAACAGGAAAGCAGATTGATACTGTTCCAGCAACGCAAGAAGTTCCATTATGTTCGGAGCCGTTGAAACACAGCTGCTGCCGGCTCGCCTAACTCCCTGTTTCGAAACGTCTCTCCCTCTGATCGGCGTTGTGTCCGTTGGTTGCTATCGTTATGGGGCCTCCGATGCTGGGGTTTGCAAGCAGTAGAGATGTTAAGTTCCGAGATGAAACGAAAGATTGAACCCCACGACACCTCATGCCAAAAGGCCCAAGAAGTCCTGCCGTCCACGGGAACCCGTCGGAACCTGTGAATGGAAGGCTGCTGACCTTCGGGTTGGCGACTAGTGATCAACTACCTTGCATGGTGGGGATGGAGAGTCTAAGGTCTAGGTCTAGCTTCAAAGTGTTGACTTAGGGTTTTGGCGGTTATCTTTAGCCGTTGAAGAAATCTCAGGAGAATGAAACGCACTCCTTGGGGAATCTTCCGGCGCTGCGGTGGGCTTGAATAGTTTGTTAGTTCCCTTACTTGAGGCCCCATACTCAGAGACCGATCTCAGTGTGCTCCCCAGCAGTAGTGCAGGCGCAAGCATACGACAACACACACTTAAGATTGCGACCGTGTGCACAACGCGTGGTCCGCGAATGGCATCCAGACCGGTCACAAATCGAAATGTCAAAACTTCAACCAGGCTAAGTGCAAATGGCTACTGTGCTCAGGACCAGCGGACCCTGTCCAAAGGCTCACGGGAGGTGACATGTTGCTAGAATCAGTCTGTCGACAAAATGAACTGTCACTTGTAACACATAGTTCGGATCGATATTCGGATCCCGAAACGTCGGTTCAGCTGCCGGTTTCTAGTCGCCTAGGCCCTAGGTTCTCGGGTATTCTGAAGGATCAGAGTTCTACGGTTCTGAATAAGACAAGAAGTAAGAAGGTCCCAGACGACTGTTTCGCGTTCGCGTGCATAGCTGACCGGGCTTGTTCTTCTACATTCGGATTTGGCCCATGCGACCTTTCTTGATTTGCGGGTAGATGGCTCTGTCTTTGGCCAAACCAGGCTCTGTTGCAGAATTGGCGGTCACTGGAAAACATGTCATGATTTCTTTTAGGTGCCTTGTGGCCCTATGGACAAAAAGTCGATTGAAGCGCCGAGGGGTGGAAATAATCACCAGAAAACAATGTATCATGTCAAGCGGAAGACTTCAACGAAGCTTGCAAGTTCTTGTGCCAAGTCCTTCTATGTCGCAGCTTAATTAAGCTTATGACTTTAAGACAGTCGGTTGGATCCCAGGGGAAGCCTGTTTGATTGATTATGCCCTTTGCCTTTCACCCGAAACCATACACTCCCAAACTCATCCCAAAGGCGACTTGGGTAGGAAGCAGCATCGGGAAATCCGCAGCACATCCAGCGTGCATGTAGCCTTGTCTCAAAATCAGATCATCGGATGTAGTGGTTTTTGGGCTCGATTGTTTAGGGACTGGGACGTAGGGAGACAAGGCTTCTCTTGCCGCAAATCCTGGCTATGACAGAGGCAAACAGAAGGGCGCTTGTATGGTCTGAGGCTTGGGGTTTAGTTAAGGTTAAAGATGGTGAAGGTCACAAGCCTTCCCAAAGAGATAGCCACGAGGGGCCGCCTTTGGTTTCGGCTTCCTTCTTAAACGATGAGGTGACGTGGTATTTAGGAATGGAGCCCTCCCCAAGTCCCACACCCCCGACCCGAAAGGGCTCCTTCTGTGACCCCGGACGTTTCCCTCCGCCCTGGCTTCCTCGGCATTGGATTTGGAGAGCCTCGGCGCAATCATCCGGTCGGTTTGTCGGGTTGTGGCTATTCTGGGTTTGAGCACTCGGCCTCTTCGCGGCCGTCTCGGAGTTCTACGTGCTGTCACTATATAATTGCGGCTAATTACTTAGCACCATACGTTACATGTTTGCTTTCCCGTATCGTCGCAATTTATGGCGTTTATTGCCGTGACGACGACGCTCATCATCGCTTTTGTGTTTTTCGACTTCAGTCAGCGACAGTTCAAGTCTTGCACGAGTTAGGATCCCTGTTTAGCCTGTGTCTTCCCTGGTGCGTGTGGTTTGGATTTGGGATCTTCGGTGCTTGGTTCGATGCCCGAGCCAAGCGTGGCGAATTATTATATCATAACATGTAACCTTAAAGTGTACATGTTAGCTTTTGCCATGTGCTCATGCACTGGCGATGTTGGGGCCTATCTGACCGTATTGCTGGTGTGGTCTAGCAGGGCTTGGTAGGTTGTCTTCCCATCTCAGCTTGGCCTGCAACTCAAACTGCCCAGGAGCCACGACACGTCTGCAGCAAAAAGACCAATGGAGCATGTGGTGCTTTGCCCACGGAGCACAGGGATTGGGCTGTGTCTTCTTCTTGTTGTCGTGTTCGTCCAGGTGGAGGAGACCTTGAGGAGTGGTGGTTGAAGGCGTATCGGTCAGATCTACGATTGAGGGTGTATTTTCTTCCCGAGTCAAAGCTGCAACAGAAGGTGGGTTGCCAATCCTTCTCCTCCTCATCAGTATTCTGTGTCGTTGCTGCTGTGGTTTTCGTCGTCATTGTCGTTCAGCTTGTTTTCGTGATGGTGGTGGTGGTGGTGGTGGTTGTTGTAGTTGGTCATTGCGAGGTTTATGCGTCTCATCGTGCCATCGCTCCTCCTACTCCGCTACGTGCTGCATCTTTGTAACGTCGTTCCTCCGGCCTTTCCATGCTGTCCTCCACCCGAAGCTCTCATCATGCAAGGCGCCATCGACAGCCTAGGCAAGATAGGTAAGACAGTTGCCCTGGAGACCGCCTAGTTGGTAGACAGTGTCCGGTCAGCGTTGGAGGTCTGGTCACTTTCAAAATTTCCATGTAACCGCAAATCATCGTCCTTATATGCTTCATGTACCGCAGAACCCTACTCACATCATCAGTTGGGCAAGGCTATTAACTGACTCCTCTTTCTTCGGGTTCGCCCCTAAGCTATCATCCCACCTCTCCAGCAACATATTAAAGGTTCGGGGTGTATAGAGGGCAGTGTTATTTTGCAGCTCAGACCTGCATTTCGCGCATTCGAATCTCATTCGAGTTGCTTGAGCATTCTGAACCTTCTGCACGCCCGGCCTAACGCTGCCACGTGGCTCTCCCCAGTCTGGCAGATTGGTTTTGGAAAGGTGGCCGTGAGCCAGGCAGGGGGCTAAGCTTCAGGAATGAGACGGATCAGGATAGGATCAGTACTCAACATGCCGGCCTCACCCCATCAATTTTCGGGCACGGCTGCTGAAAGTGTACACGCTTAGGGGAAAGCAGTCCACACAGCAGAGTCAAAAGGAGCCCGACAGAAGGGTCGGGGTCGGGCTGCGCCAGAATGTGATTACATTCCGAAAACCGTAGTGCCAAAAGCCCGAACCTCCGAAGAATCTCAGAGAGAAAATGGCTTTCACCTCCCCAAACCCGACCTCTCGGGCCAAGGCGGGGCTTCTGGCTCGCCATGAGCTACTCGATGTATCAGCAGCCCGCGTTCCCACAGCTCTACCAGCAGTCCACGGCCGGGGCCGGTAGTCTGGCTTTCAGGGTCTTGGCCCGGAGTCTGAGTTCTGAATCTGATGCATCCTACCTGCGCCGCTCGGAGGCGCAAACATCTCAGCCGCAGCAGACCCAATCGCAGCCACAGCAGCCTGGCTGCCATGGAGATGTTTCAGTGGTCACCAGCTGACATACTTGATGGTGTTTCCGTCATGGAGGGGCCTGAGAGTCAGCCTGTAAGTTTTCTGCAGGCAGAATCCACAACTTACAAAACCGCTGCAAAGGGAAGGTGCAAGCAATTTGTCAGGTTGTCGATGCAGTTCTTGGGCTGGTCGGAGTTCTGCCAGCCTTGCCAGTGCATGTTCTAGATAGCAGCTGTGCGACGAACACACGACTTTTGCAAGCCAACCAAATGTTTGGTTCGAACCACCGCCACCAGGACCATGCGTAGACTTCCTGCATCCACCGCATGTCAGGCAGCAGACTTCCAGCTATCCGGGCGTCCTGTTTGCACTTGCTGGGTGGGATGGGTCATACATAAGTCTATACCAGTGCTGCGGCTTCGACCCTAAACCCCTTGTGTGAGTGTCAAACCCTTGGAAGTGAGTCCGGTCACAAAGTGTGCTGGTCGAAACCCTTTAACTTTCTGTACGTGGTCGATGGTCTAAAGTTTTCGACTGGGCTAATCTACTGTCTTGCGTCCTGTGACGCGATCTATCTAACGATCCTTGAACGGATTTCGCGACAGCGGATGCTTCCAGAGAGCGTCCTGGAGGAGAGAAGCTACCGGGGCACCCTGCACTCGGGGTTGGAGTTGATTCGCGCAAAAGGCTTTGCAGAATCAAGCCGGAAGTCTAAACTCCTTGGTGTAGCGGGATCGCCTAGAGCTTCAGAGACTCTCCTCTCCCAGAAGCCTGGAAAGCTGTAAGTACTGTATGTGCCCAACAAGGAACCTGAAAGCCCGCAAACCCAAGGCTACGCTGCTCCACAGCAAGCAGCATCAACACCAACTCCGCAGGCGAATCCGTTGAAGGGTCTTTAAGGGTTGAGTGAGGGGTTCTAGATGTCGTTGGAGACCTGGATGCAGAGGAATGCATGATGATTCATGGGTCAGGGCCAGACGTTCTTTCCTGCGTCGGCTTCTTCTGATGTGTGGTTCTGACAGTTGCGAGTGCTTGGCCGTCAGTAACTGTTGAGAGACTGTCGCAGCCGACCCTTGCCGGAGAATCGGAGGTGGTTGCGTTGAGTGTGGGTGAGTCATGCGCTTGCGTAGATCCACCGGCCACAGAGCCAGACGGGCCAGACATAAATCTCTAATTAAGGGAAAGGCTTTTTGTCAATCAGGAGCCTACATTAGGCGCCAGCCGCACGATCTGCAGCAGCAACCAACTTTCAACGCAGCCACTTCCGAATCTCAGACATGCTGCAACCTTGCTTAACCCTAAGCCGCAGCTCTCCAGTAAACTACTGGAAGCAGCGACTCACCGAAACCTTGGCAAACTTCAACATCTACGAAAAACCGGCCGAGTCCGACGCTACGAAGCCCTGCCGCATCGAGGCGCATTCTGCACCGGGACCAGGTCAGGGTCAAGTCGTGCAGGTGCCGCCTCGCGAGGACTGCGCATGTTCATAGTCATGGCCATCACCATCAAAGCCGGACGAATCGTTTTGACCGTGTCAGTGGCAAGAAGAAAAGTATGGGAAGCCTTCGTTTGTGAAGAATGAGCACCAACTCGTATGCATGAGAATCTTGATGATGTTGGGAACTGTGATGGTGAGAATTTGTAGGAAACAGTGGAACCATGTGGAACCGACACTGATCACGATCCCGATCATGAAAGAATCATGCGAAGCCGGATATAGGCGAGGTCTGTAGTTTACACATGCAGGCAGGCGCTTTCTGCGGCTTTCGAAGAATGCCTCAACTCCGAAGTCATTACTGCGCTTGGTTGCCTTGTTTAGATGATCGAAGTGAGTGCAACAAGCCAAGTTCGCAGGAGGCAGTGGGCAACGTCGCTCACATTGCAGTTACCGGCTGCACACACAGCACGGTCGGCGGGATCGTGCGAGGGAATTTTACAGCAAACGGGCAGAACCATGGCAGGCCGACTTACAAGAAAGACACGCAGGTCAACGGTTTAGACGTTCAGCTGTACTACTGGGATGACCGGGATGGCCCAAACTTCTGTGGATGGTGGTTCGGTCCCAAGGTTGGTGGTGACCAGGTGTGGGCGTACCACCCAAGCAGCTCAGCAGGCACCCCGCCTCGCACAGGCTGGAAGGTGCCTTACGATGGACCTCCGGACCCCACCTTTGTCATCACTCCGTCGCAGCCACCCAGCCAGGCGGCTGCCCAGGCAGGCGCTGCACAGGCACCCGGTCAGGCCCAAGCGGCCCAAGCCCAGGCACAAACACAGGCGAACCCACAGGCATCTCAGCAGCAGGCAGCCCAGGCGCTCCAGCAGCAGTATGCGGCCTACACACAGCAGCTGCAGCAACAGCAGGCAGCGTATATGCAGCATTATGCACAGCACCCAGGTGTCTCAATAGTATGCGTTTTCGATGTTCACAATTTCTTGTAACTCCAAACCAAGATTTGAATTTGCATTGCGTTGCGGGCTTCTTCCTTGGCCTTCCAGAGCCCAGGCAAGCCGAGCAGCTCAAGCAGCAGCAGGAACAGATGCAGCAGCAGATGCTTGCTGCACAGCAGAAAGCCATGGCCATGGCAGCCATGAAAAGTGCCTTAGTCTCATGTTTGTAGGGCTTGTACCTGGAGAATCCCGCGCCCCTAGTCGCCGAGATCCAGGTTTTCCGAGGAAGTAGGTGTGGAATGTCGGAAATCTTCAGACTGTTCATCTCGATGTCGTCTTGGTTCGGATGGGTCGCAGAAGTTGGAATGCTGAAGATCCGGCCTCATGCTCTCAAATCGCAGTCTTTCAGCCATGCCACGGTGCGAACAAGGCAAGCAGGAAGAGATGAAAGCGAAGCAGCAGGCTGAGATGAAACGAAAGGCCGAGGAGCACCAGAGGACACTCCCCGGCCCGGCCCCCCTCTACCCCTCAGGCCTTGGGATAGTAGTTGGGGTGGTAGCAGCTGTTTTGCCAACAACATTCCTGAAGAGTTGCTTGTCTTCGGGGGGAGGTCTGTGGGAAGCCGCTCATTGAGGGTCGGCTTGAACAGGATGTGTCTTGACCTTCCTCACTACTACAATTCGTACGTCCCTGAGCATGTCGCAGGATTATGGAAGAGCGGAAGAAGCAGGCTGACGAGCAGCGAGCAGCGATGAAGATCCGCCAGTACATGCAGAAGGCATGCGCCCAGTGCGAAATGTGATTGCCGAAAGGCAGAACGTTTTCAAGCCGAAGAGAGCATCCCACGAGACCGTATGCCACGCATCCAGAAGTTCTTAACTCCAGGATTGTATACCTATAAGACTCTGTCGTCGAGAACCTACAGTATCACATTCCGTCCGGTCTATGGGCTTTCTGCTCCCGCAGGGCAAGCCCCCAACACAAACCTAGAGCCTCGACATCCCCACAATCACTTTAATGTAACGTTGTCAAGCGTGTCGTCGTTGCTCGTAGTAGCGTTTGATGATCATGATTCGCGGCAACACGTATATTCGTATTCATGCTTACTAGAAGTGTGTTTATTAGGTTACCGTCTGCTGTGTCATAATACCCAGGCATGCTGTTAGTTTGGGGTTTCTGTGTCAAGGGTTTCTGGATTACATTGTTTGGGGCGCATGGCTTCCTTCTTGCAGGAACGGTTCAATCATTCTGTTTAGTCCTTTCCGGGTTCAGGGTCGTGTCGATAGACAGCTTGCCACCCTGTACAACTTGCAAGGGCGGACAGCCACACCGCAGAGCATTCGCTCACGAATCACGACCCCTGAAACCCATCGCCCTGGACCCGTAGCACCATCACTCTGAAAGCATGGCCTTAGAGATGGGCCCGGAGGTGCGGCTCTCGACAGAGGAGAACCTGGCCCAGCACCACCAGGATGGGAAAGAGAGGTTGCGTGGAAGCGCGCAGAGCGCTCCCCTCATTGATCGGGTGTAAACGTCCTGCCTCAACGTCGGTGCTTTACTCGAAGTCACACAAGCGATGCAGCATGTGTATGCGAGGGGCTCAGAGGGATAGTTTAGTGTAGGTGTTTGGTTTGTTTCGTTTTTGGAGGCCCCCGCCAAGTTCCTGTCACACTTCACCACTAGTTGGACCAGTCTTCGGGAAGTCTTGCCTGCCTGGCGCCAGTGTGAGAGTCGAAACCAGGAGTTAGCTGATGTCATGAAAGAAGAGCTGATCAAGTGTGGCACGGGCGCGCCGAAGGCGAGCTCGAGTTTAGGGGCCAGGATTTATTGCGGCTTCAGGGTTTTGGGCTCCAGCTTGGCGATTCGGGTCTTTAGAGTTGGAAACTTCGCACAACATGTCGGCCTGCAAAATTGCTTCAAAACGGGCTATGACTTCGGGGTAACATTGAACACGGCCGCGCTGAAGTTTCCTAGACCGCCCCGATGCAAGCCGACACAAACCCTACATTGCAAACCATGATAGCTACGACTGCTACGCTTGCGGACCAAGCCTGCTTGAAGGGATGCCTGACGTTGGAGGCTGAAGTAATGAATTGAGGGATTTATTGCTGAGCATGTATCAGCATGTTATCGAGCATGCTGAAATTGGGGCTCAATAACTCAGAGCTTAATCCAGGGGTAAAGCGTCATACATGAAAAGGGGCTGGAGCAACGTCGTCAAGTCCTCTCTACTTGCGTGGAGTGGATTGGACTCGAGTGAGCTGAGTTATGCTTGTGGATTGCTTGAGTTACGGCCAGTCGAAAGTGAGATGCCTTAAATCGCTGATGTTTGAGATAGACTTCTGACATGAGTGGTGTATACTCTGGCTTGGAGTCAACAATTGCCTCGTAGCCGGTGAGTCGAAGCGCTCTTTCCTAACAAAGCCACGACGTGTATTGTTGTTTCTTCAAATGTGTTGTAGCCAATGATGCGAACACGCCGCTATCTGTTGTTCTCTCTGACTAAACTTAAACTCTTCAATGCGGGCTCGTCCTAGCTAGTTGGGAGGCAAAAAGCGCCAAACCGTAGCATACCTCGCGAACCCAGAGTATCACTACTGCATGTGGGCTTACGGCAGTGCGTCTCGGGAGAAAGTGGTCAAGCGATCATGAGTTCAATCTTGTCGGTCTTATCGATCAGTTGTTGTAATCGCACAGGACACCGCAAGCAGGGCGTGCAAGCCGCCGGACGGGCCCCCAAGGTTGAAGTTTTTCTTTAAACAGAAGCGAACACCTTCACCCCAGGTTACAAATCCACAGTTGAGGGTTTAGGAAGCATCTTGTGACACAAAGCTGCAGTGCACAGGTCAAGGAGGAGTGCGATCAGGCGGTCGAGCAAGCGAAGACACGAATCCAGGCTTGGGACCCGGCTCTTCCTGAGTTCGGTTGGGGACTCTTGGGCCTTTACGGTTTCCTGGATGACGAACTCGGGGAGGCTGCGAGAGACAGACTGGGAGAGACAAAGACAGGGTTTCAATGCCTCTGAGCTTCCTGTCGAAGCGTTTTCTCGTGGAAGCTTAAACGCCCCTTCCCAAAAGGGGACCGCTGCTGCTCTTTGCTATGGCACCCCGAACAAGAAGAATAAGCCTACAACGAAAGAGTCCATACTTGGAGCGTTGGACACCGGATGTAGCCTCGAACCTGACAGTCGCCGGGAGTTGTTTGACAGACGTTTGTGGTCCGCTCCGCAAAGTGGGACGCGTTTGCCCGAAAGTTCAACGATTCGAAGTAACATTTTCTGAGACTTTGGGTGTAAGTCCCAAACGCCCCATGAAGCGTCGCAGGCATTTTCCGAGTTGATCGAGTTGCGAGAGTTCAAGCACCCTAAGATTTTCCTAACCCAGGCCATGAAGGAGGCCAAGAGGCGGGAGGACGAGCGCCCGCTGCTGAGAATCCGGAGTTTGGGATACGGCGGAGGGATTCGGGCTTCTGAGGGTTGATGGCGTAGTACTGTCGGCGCATGGTAAAACGGTATACCTAAGTATTGGATATCATCGCCACCATCGTCATCGCCATCATCGTCATTATCACCATCATCATCATCATCATCATCATCCTCGTCGTCATCATTCGTATAACGGTTCTTCCTCTGGACATTTCATTAGAATTAGATTCAAGACTATTACAGTCGTTATTTCTTTTGCTGTCACATTTTTTGTTATTGGCTTTTCGTGTTTGTTAGTTTTTTTTGTCTTTCAATGGAATGATCCCATCATCACATCATCACATCAGTTCTGGGTCAGCACTGGCTTTGGTGACTCTTACCGGCATCCTGCTGGTCGCGAACTGTGGCCGACCATTGTGCTCAACCCTGCAGGTTTTGTCAGGAGTTTAGCTTTAGCTCTCATTGCGATCCCGTAGATACCCAGCAAGAGCTAGTTGATAGTAGCCTTGAAGCCCATGATGAAGCCAGTCTTGACAAGGCTTGGAGCGAGCCTTTGTATTCTGAGATCCCAGGGTTTAGTTTTGGCGCCAGGGCATTTCAGGCTCAGCCTCACACCGCCATGCGCGTTGCAGCGGGGACGAGGCTTTCTGCCCTAGGCCTGGCACGGCACCGTCTTCACCTGCCACAGATCTTGGCCCGTCCGCCCAGCACGAGCTTCCGCCGAAGCGTGTCAGTGAGGCTTAGCCGAAATTGGGAAAGCGGCTTGTGCATCTTGGGTTCAGAGTGGCTGGCGTTCTTGCTTGCAAGCCCGCAGCAAAAAAAAGTTTTTTAAGGATACAGCAATCTGTTTAGTAGTGGCACGAAACCAGAACTGCAGTGATATGAACGGCAAGCAAGGAGTTCGCTGACCGGGAACAGCACAGTCAGCGCGGAAAAGCCTCGTCACAGCGTCACGGCCCCACGGCTGCACGTAGGCGTCGTGGTGGTGCCCCAGCAAATCGCCTGGGTGGTCGAGCGCTTGGGGCGATTTCACAAAATCCTGGATCCGGGACTCCATTTCCTGGTGCCGGTGGCGGATCGAATCGCTTATGCCCATTCCCTCAAAGAGGAGGCGATTCCCATCCCCAACCAGCAGGCAATCACAAAGGACCCGGAGAGAGGGACAGGCAAGCATGAATGTGGCCCACCGGCAATCCAAACGGCATTTTGGCATGTTCTCAAAACCTTCTGCCGAATAAATCGGGATGGCCCATCCTAAATGCAGCAGTTGTTAGGGGTGTAGCTTGAAGTAGGTGACAGGTGATGTTTAATCTGCTCCGTCGTTTGTCCTTCAGCCAGCACGGACAAGAACCATCTGATCGAGATCATGGCAAAGGTATTCATGACCTTTAAATTATCATCATAACTGTCATCGTCGTCGTCGTCGTCGTCAAGGTCACCATGGACACCAATGCCGGCATGGATGCCAAAGACTCTAGTCATAGAAAATAGACACCAGGCGACAACACACAAGACTTCTGCGACGTAGAAAGAATCAGACATGCTGCGATGATGACGAGTTTAGTATTTTTTGGAGGTGAAATCAAAACGAGAGAACATTTTCGAGAGGAGACTCCGAGATTTCTTGCTTTCCTCTTCCTAGACAGGACAACGTCACCATCAGCATCGACGGGGTCTTATACCTCAAGGTCGTAGATGCCTACCAGGCCACTTCCGGCAGGGATAAGGAGTGCTTGGAAACTATACACTACACCTGTTCCCCACGTGAAGGCCTTGATAGGGACAATCGCAGTACAGTGGATGTGAATCAAGGTGATGGCAGTCGAGTCGTAATCGTCAGATTCATGGCACTCTCGGTATGGTGGAAGCTGTGGCGGCGCTGGTGCTTCTTGTTGTCTTGCTGGTTGTAATGTTGGCAATTGGCAGCAAGCCCGACAACGCCCATTGCAATTAGTACCAATAAATAACGGCTACTCCGTTGAATAGGTGGGGCAAGAGCATGCAGGCATACAGTCAGCCTGAACGGAATTTGCCAGTGAGACCTTTGTACCCTACTTCGCGACTCGTTCAGCCGTGTAGGAGGCAAAAATAACGGCCCGGAAATCAGAGCAGCCCCACCTGCGCTCTCAACAAACACAAGCTAAAGTCGCTGTCTATGACCGCACCAAGTGCTCGTAGAGTAGAGTAATTAGACATGTATTAGTAAGTATTGCCGCTTCACGAGATACCTCCTAGGTTATTTTCGTGAACTGGCGGATTATTTCAGAGCTATTGCCCCTAACCCTACACCCAGAGGCTTCCTATGGCGTGCATGACCCGACCTTTGCGGTGACGCAGCTCGCGCAGACCTCCATGCGCTCAGAGATTGGCAAGATGACTCTGGATCGTACCTTCGAAGAGCCTTCGGCATGCAGGCGTCCAAGGGTTAGGTCTCATTACGGTCCAAATTGCGGTGTCTTTGAACTCGTGCGGTGCTGGGCTCTGTGGCCGATACCTCAAATTTCATTCACTTCTTGAGGAGTGCCAGTCTCTTTCTGGAGCTTTATCGTCGACCAACTTCAGTTCCTAAGGAGCGGGACGCCATGAACCACGCCATCGTGCAGGCCGTGAATGCTGCCGCGCATTCCTGGGGTATTGAGGTGCTCCGCTACGAAATCCGTGACATCATTCCGCCGACATCCATCAAGCAGGCCTTTGTCCTGACTGGAAACCAAGATTAAGAGGGATTCGGGGACGGGCACCTGCAGTTCGGTGGCATTTTAAGGGAGCCCACGCCTGGGAATCTGCCGTGTGCTCGCCTGGTCTAGGGGAACCAGTTTCGGTTGTAACCCGAGTTTTGAGCCCCCGCACAAGGGAACCTACTTGCTGAACCGATGACTCTTGCCATGAGCCTTCAGTCCTCCTGCCTGCGTCGGTCTCAAAAAGATGCTTCTGATGATGGGAGGTGCTGAACTCTGTGACGCACTAGAGAAACCGAGTCTCAGTACCCTTGTCTTTACTGGGATGGCAGCCAACCGCTCATCAGGCCATGGAGATGGAGGCAGAAGCGGAGCGGCGACGAAGGGCCGAAGTGCTCCAGAGCGAGGGCGACCGTCAGAGTGAGGCATCTATGGTTGGGGATTTGGGGAGAGGAAGGGCAGAGCACCTCCCCCTCCCCCAACATAATATTGTGTATACACGTGTGTCACACTCACATTCAGGTACATACATATATATATATATACAGGTGTATGTATGTATGTATATATATATATGTATATATATATATATAGATGTATGTATGTATGTATGTATGTATGTATGTATGTATGTATGTATGTATGTATGCAAGTAAGCAAGCAAGTCAGTATGTATGTATGTATGTATGTATGTATGTATGTATGTATGTGTGTATGTATGTATGTATATGTGTATGATAGCAACGTACAGATCAGGAAACTATCAATTGCAGGTGAATTTGGCGGAGGGGAAGATGCAGGCGGCCATGCGCCAGGCCCGAGGTGATGCGGAAGCAATCCGGGAGCGCGCCAAGGACCGGGTTCGGCTGACCTTGGGTGATGGTTGGGAGCTTCGGAGCTTGATGGGCCGTGATTCCAAGTCTATGGGAAGCTCCGGCTTGAGCCGGCTTGAGCTCCCACAGGGCAGGCTTAGGGCTTTCGGCTTGCGTAGGGTAAAGCTTCTTGATCCCCGAGGCCACTGCAGAGGGCATCCGGATGATCAGCTCCGCTATCGCGGAATCCAGGTCACTGGGTGCCTTATAAGAAGTTCTCGGAGTGCGCAGTGAACATGGCGGAGATTAGTCCGTGCATTGTGGAAATTTGAACTGTCCTTGCACTCGGCCATGCTCGGCCTCAGCGAAAGCTTCTATAAATAGGGGGGGGGGGGGGGGGGGGNNGGGTTGGCCTTTCAAGAAGTGCCTCCTGAAAGGAAGGGAGAGCAAGCTGCTTCGCTCCGTGTCGCTGAGCAGTGGGTTTCTGCTTGGAAAGAGATGGCCAAGAAGTCCAACACCCTCATCGCAGCTTGGGTTTACTACCTAGGGGAGGGTGTTGTTGCAAGGCGTACTTCGAGGTTCCAGGGAATTACTCAGGGTAACTACAGCAATCGCAACTTACAAGCTAACAGCTAAGCTTGCGGTCATGGTTCAGCAACACTCGAGAAACAGGTGCCATAAATCAGTTGGCCACTCGAAGCTGTGTTAACGGAATTTGGATAGCTGCATGAAGCTGCAAATATACAGGGTTTGAGGCTGAAATAGATCAGGGGCCACCATGGCGTTTTTGGTACTTTGGCTCCAAGTGCGGGGGTCTGGGTCCCCGGGTGGGTGTGCCGTGTCGTGCACGGAATGCCATCTCTCAGCTATGGCATACTGGGCTTGTGGAGGTAGCCATCACGCTGTGGTCCTTGCTTTAGCCAAACTTTAGCCTTTCAGTTGGTAAGCTTTCTACAGATGAAAAGGGGCTTCTCTTCCGAACCCCTTGCTAGAAGCAAGCTTACTCACCCTTGGCATGTGAAGCAAGGTGCCTGCGAATGCCGGCGATGCCTCTGGCATGATCGCCACGGCCACTAGCATCATGAAGCAGCTTGGACCGCTTGCCGAGGACTCGCAAGCTGTAACCGATTTTCCCCCTGCAGATGGCTCCAAAAGCACCTTCGGAAAAGAGTACGTTGAGGGTGGTGACGGTGCCAAGCAGGACTGAACAGACATCTTGCGAAGGCGCAGGGGAAAAAGCAGATCGGTCGTGCACTGCAAGGGATGGTAAGGGCCAATGCAAGGAGATGAAGCCACCTTACATGAGATTTGACTTCGGTCCCCGTATTTCTCAACGATCTTCTCACCTCCAAGGTGCGGTTGCGAGGTTGGGCTTGCAGGAGCGCTAGAATGGAAAGAGACATGTAGAAGAAAACTAGCTTCGTTTGAAGCTCATAGCAGAGATAACGAACGAGAAGGAAGGATTGAGACAAACTGTTGCCAGGGGGATAGAGAGGTCGATAGCGACTTCACCCAGCAGCTGAGCACACGAACACACAAGTAGGGTGGGCCACCGCCGGTGCTACAATAGTATGTTCCATTGCCGATAGCCGACAGCACCTCCTTCGCATGAATAATGGAATATTTAAAGAAGGTTATTCTTCAACAGTGGTTCGCACCAAAGCCTGCCAAGAGAAAACGCAGCTGTACTATGCGAGTAACGCAGGAAGTCCAGGCTTCAAGAAACCAGTAGTCAACGCCCATACATGAATCTTGCGGAGAAGAAGGACGTGAACCCTGCTTTTTCACATCGAACCCACGAAAGCAGAGCCAGGCGGAACAACGGCGAGGAGCCAATGCACCAATAGATGAACATTGAATAGTATCCAAGTGAGATTGTAGACTTCGATCGCTAGACTCAAGCAACCGACTGGTAACCAATTGGGTTCCCAGTAGTTGCGTCTCGAGTCGTCGCTGCATCGTGAGTAGTGACTTACACACATCGAGGCAGCAACCTACCCTACCCTTTCTACAGTGTCAAGATCACCCTTTCCCGAATGTGTGAAGACACACCCCACAAATCCACAACCCCTTGGCAAGGCTGCCCTAAACACAGGCTATCTGAAGTGTTTCACCTCGTCCGACCACGTACCAATAACCTCGCCTGGCTTGTCCGAGAGAAAGCGCCGAACTCACAGGCACAATGCGGATTTCTTTACACAGCTACCGTCCTTCAACGTGGTCTGGTGGTACTCGCCCAGCATGAGAAACACATGGCATGGCATCTCAGCCCCCGCAAACCCAATTTCAAAGCCTATCAGCTTGCTAGGGCTCCCGACTGTACCTCAGCAGCGACCTTTGGGAGTTTGCTATTTGAACTCTGATGGCACTTTTCTATTGTAGCCCCCTTTACATCCCAAACCCAGCCCGAATCCCAAACCCCATGTCTCGAGGCAAGGAAGAGTTGGCCAAGCAGGCCAGAGAGGCCCAGGAGAAGGCAGAACCGTACCCGACGACACATTGAAGATTCTCTAGGCCACTAGACGATGTTCGCTAAACCCTGCACCCCGTGGCTGTAACGTTAAAAAAGGAGCTCGCTCTTGAAATGATGTATTGTCGACCCTGCAGATTCTTCCAAATCGTTTTTGGCAGCAAAGTCAAAAGCCTCCAATCGTCTTCACAGAAAGCCCTTAGCATTGACCCCTCGCCAAACTGATGCCGGAAACCCTTGAACCCCCCAGGCCTAAAGCCGCAAAATCCTCAACCTGCAAAGCCGACATTCCTAAGCAACCCTCAAGCCTTTAAGCCCGGAAGCACTGAAGCTTGAAGCCCTACGCCCGCTAAAGCTGAGAAGCCTTGAATTCTCAGATCGTTACAGCTCCGGAAAGCCCCCATGGCGAGAGGCCACCGAACTACTGAAGGAGCTGGCAGCCAAGGCTTCCCCACCCGACTTCTCTTCGCGCTTTTATTGGGTTTGGAAATTTGGGTTTAGGGTGTCGGGGTTTATTTTGCTTTTGTCTTTCTTGTTTTTTTTCTTTGCGCGTTAAGGGCCTGGTCTCCCTGTTTAGGAATTGGTTTGAGAGTTTCCAGGCATTCTTGGGATTTGGCTCTCTTGGTTTCTTTAAGTTTTGGGAGGTTAGATGGGTGTTAGTTGCGTAAGCGTCTTATGATGAAACAGGGGTTCAACAGAGTTTGTGTAGGGTACCATGGAGGCTGGCGGCTTCCGATAGCCGAACTAAACTTTCCACACGCTTCCGATATGTTGGTTTGGGGGTTTGTGGCCACTGTGGTGTGTTTAGGCTAAGTTTTTGGGTCAGTGTCCTCGCTTTCGGGATTTTTCGGGATTTGGGACATGGTGGCTAGTACCTAGTAGTAGCTATGGTTGTAGCCGTCTTCGACGAAGCGGCCATCGCAATACTCAGGCTGCAGTGGCATTCCTCAGGGTTTCAGTAGGACTAGACCGGGAAGATTGACCTGCTTGCCTGGCATGACCCGAACCCTGGTTCGAAGCCTGGCCATATTCCCCCCTTGTACTCGGACACATCCGATTCTCCGAATCTGTTGCAACAGACCCGCTGGTTGTCAGGTGAAGGATGCCCAGACGGCCGTTGAGGCGCTCATCGCCGCTGCGGAGCCCCTGAAGCCAGAGGCTGCCCTCCCACTTGCCATTGGTCTTGCCCTCGTTCTTGCTATCACTATCACCATAGCTATGATCACAACAGTTGCTCGTGAGTGTTGCTGTTTTCAGAACTGTTTCGCACTCGGAACGTCGTGGGCCACCTCCACTTAAGTTCGAGACTTGAGCATGTCAGGAGCCGAAGCCCAAAACTGCAGCCCCGAACCTAAAGCCCGTACTTACTGAGTTCTGTAGGAACCCACACGACAGAGATTGTATTTGAGGGCCTGTGTAAGGGTCTCAACCGCCAAGCCTTCTCTACGAATCTGAAATGCAAAGCTCCCCAGGAGCTTATAGGCTTCCACGAAAGCGCGTGCAAAGCCTTAGTTGCAGGCCGAGCTCAAGTTGGAGGTAGTCAACAAGGTGGTCTCGTCCTCGGAAAACAGAGCAGTGGATGCGGGGAAATGGGAGACATACGGACTTCACAGTTTAAGGTAAAGGGTTCAGACTGCTTGAGCATGTGTGTGTATATATATATATATTCTCACTTATGTAATATGTACATACATTCATGCACATACATGCACAGATATGCAGATACATACATGCATACATACATCTTCTTCGCAGAGATGCGCACACACACACACACGTGTGGTATGTGTATAAATACATACATACATACATACATACATACATACATACATGTATATATATATATACACACATACACATGCACACATGCACCGGTTGTCGTGAATCATTCTAAACATTAACATGCTTGCACACCAACGTGCATACATGCATGTACGCACGTATGTATGGATGGATGTATGTATGGATGGATGGATGGATGGATCGATGCACGGATGCGAGCACATTTGCATTCACTTGCGTTTGTGGGCTGTCTGGATTTTCACGCGAGGGTTTAGGGGAGGCGACGGAGGCCGAGGAAGAGTGAGCGAGCGTCGTCTCCGGCTGTCAGGACGGCAAGATAACTTTAGAGCAGCTCAGCCGACCTGGCTTCGGCTGCACCCTGCGTCGGACTGGGCTGAAACGGCCTTGCCCTCGCAGTGCCGAGGCATATCTATGCTGCGGTTTCATCGTGAAGGGAACTACCGTGAAAATGCGATGTGGAAAGGCATCCGCCGCCAACTTCAAGCGCAATGCGACATTGGGAGATGCCGCGGCACCTGCGGTCGCTCGACTTGCCCTGGTGCAGAGATCACCAGTCGTTGTGGCATGACATCTTCGTGAAGCCATGGATGCCAGCTTCTGCCTTCATGCAAGGTTATGCCACTGGTTGGGACATGCAGGTTTTGAGTCCTGCCAGTGAAAGCTTTACTCAATTGCTTCAGGAAAGCCATAAAACGAAAAGGGATCTTACCGCTGTATTGCATTTGCTGCATCACGTGTGTGTGCGCGCCGCAGACGGGTTCTTTTCACGTTGCTGTGCACGGCACTGTCGGCTTTGGCTTGCAGCTGGAGAATCAAGGGCTCGAGGTTTAGGTCCGCCTGGCTCGGCACCCAGGATTCCATGCGGTGAGAGCAGAGCCCTCCAAAACCGGAAGCTCCAGGCGGCCATGGCAACGTACATCAACTATGGCGAGGGCGAGGCCAGGGCTCTCGGGCTCTCAGGCGGCAACATGCGGAGGGGCGGAGCTGTGCCAGGATGATGCCATCGTGCAGGGAGCGGAGTGGCTCATGTGGGCCCTGGCATGGGTTTTGCTGCATGCAGCAAGCGCCTCCTCTAGCGTTCGAGACTTGCAGCTGAAGCTTTGCAGGGTGCGGTGGGTCTGAGCTTGTATAGGTTGGCAGTCCGCATGCTTTTAAAGCATGCATGAAGAGAGTGAATCGTCCGACTGCGTGTCTGAGCGCACAGTTGGTCGGTGCAAGGACGTGATGGCCGAAGAAACGTCTAAAAGAGGGAAGCTCTGGGAACTCTGTCCTTCTGCAGGGTCAGCGATGACATGCAGTTTCTGTGCATTGCCCTAAAGATGTGGCCCCACGAACACTCAGCTGGGGACAGCAGAAAGAGGCTTTCCAACAGCACCGGCGCCCTGAAGACAGCCTCGAGCCACAGAAAGCAAATCTTCTCTTTGCCAGGAGGCTTCTGCAGCTGCAGCAGGGGATGGATGCGGAAAAGGCCTTCACCGACAAGTTCAGGAAGGAGTTTCAGGCACCGGCACCTGTCGAGCGCCTTCGTCTTCGCACTCTGTTTTTGCCAAGCTTCCAGGCGGTGCAGGACGCGCCAAGGTACGACATTGCCCCTGTGTTCGATTTGTTCGTCGACTACAGCAAGGATTGCTGCTACCAAGACTCGTGTCTGCACTGGACAAGCCTTGCTGTAATCCCTGGCGAGAACCTTTTCACGGCCATCCCAGAGAACAAGCCTGAAGAGCGGCTGAAGGAGATCGAGGCACCTGCCAAGCTTCAAAGCCATCTAGCTCGGGTGTAAATCCAAGCTTGCCGCTGCCAACCGCTAACGCCGATTTTTGTGACGCCAAGATGCTCTGTGTGCGGACAGTAATGTCGCTTCGAAGATGTACCTGCCTGCCATCGCAAATCCACTTGTTTTGCGTGTCATCCATGCCGCCACTGCTGCCAGAGCTTCTTCGCGCTGATTCTCAGTATGCTGTCCTACTTCGAGGTGCGCTGAAATGTGGAGTTGTGACTCCCAGTGTCCGAGTGCCCGTATCCACAGGACAGTGAACATTTGGACAAGTCAACAACAAGACTCTGCGAATTATTGAGCGCGGACACAGAGCAGTCGCCGGCTCAGCACCAGGCTTGAGGCATGCGGTTTGCTTTATTAGGGTTGCGCTGCCGCAGTGAGAAAGGCCAACAAAGAGACCCAGTGGAACCCTTGCAGTGCAAGGGTAAAAGAACTGTTCTGTTTCCGCCTTCCAGGCAGCCCGAGCTGCGACTCAGACTGCTGATGATGCTGTACAACACCTTCAGCCCTCCTCTCCAGTCCGGAACTTAAGTCAGGCATCAGAAGCTTTATCGCCGATCGGCTCTTTTGGAAGTCAGACCAGACATTTCGTTCCTGCGAAGGCAGCGGTACAGGATCTTCAAGCGCCCTGGTGGCATTGCAGTTTCGTTGCAGACCTCCGGACTTCAGCGGCACGATGTTCGAAAGAATTCGAAAGAGATTCGTTGGATGACCTGAGGTATGCCTTGGACTACGCAGCAGCGGCTGACATGTTCGACCAGGCCATGCCCCCGGCCATTCCGGGATTCCCAGAACTCTCCGTCTCCGATGGCCTGTTCTAGTTTTCAGACGCTTTCCTCAGAGTTTCTCCAGAAGCCGAGCTGCAAGAGATCGGACCTGCAGAGGTTTTGCCCTACCTCGACTACCTTGACTCGTGGATGGTCCGTCTACCCAATTGAACTGTGGAGTCGGTATTCTGCTCACCTCTTTGGCGGCCCAGGCCGACTGGGAGTCGTACCTCAAGATCGACGAGAAGCGAGCATTGTATGCCGACATCTCTAGACACATGAGGCCACACTGTTTGGTCACGTAGGCCCCCGGAACCCGATTGAAGTTAAGCTTTGACCTCTTGCCAGGGGCTACGGCAAGAAGTCCGAGGCCTTCCAGTACCTGAAGCAGCCAGATCCTCAGGGCATCGGAGTCGGGCAAAAAAAATCCACGGGAGACTGGGCCTGCCTAAGGCCCCCGAATGTAGACTGAGACCCTCAGCAAGTCCCATCAGTGTTTGTTCTGTGGCCCCGCTAGGTACCATGGCCTCTTCCAGGGCGCAGCTTCGGACGCCATGACCAAGCCAGAGGCCAGAGTCAGCCTCAATTGCTCTTACATGGACCTCTTAGTGGGACATAGGAGACATGCGGGAACTTTCCGGTGCTTAGCGGGGTTGCGAGGTGCAGTACTCGTAGCACATCGGAGCCGGGTCGTGCGCGGATGGATCCTAGTCGACATGGCCCGCTCGCGAGAAGGCACAGCTCGAGTGCCCTGCAGGCATCTTTTCGTGCTCGGGTTTCGCTTCGTCTGGCGGTCCTCTCTGCATGCTGGCTGGCGTGCGCAAGATGCCTCCCCGACTGGATATCGGAAGCGGCCAAGTCCACATCACCGAACTGGTTCCACCTGGAACCCGGTCCCCAAAAAGCTCGCACAGTGTGTCTAGCAGCATGACAAAGCAGATGGACGCCGTGATTTCGGCATCGACGTGTGTCGACACTGTCTGGGCATGCCTCCGATGTTGTTTCAACTCAGTGCTCGTTTCTGGCAGGTCGTTGAGCAGACGATCCAGCTGATCAAGGATGAACTGTCCCGTCACGGATCCCGTCAGAAGCGCTTCGAGCGGAATTCCCTCCTTGCCGCAGGATGCAGTGATGCTCCCAGCGGTGATTCAGTTCGACGACGTTTTGATGCTGGACACGGTCAAGGCCAGCTGGCAGCTTGCGGAGGCTGCCGTGAACTCCTGCGCATGCGAGGCTTTGAAAAGCACCCCTCAGGGAAACCTTGTGACCCTCTGTGAAATCTTCCTGCCCGGGGCTCGAGGGGCGGCTCTCACAGATGATGCGTCGCGCGCTGCCCATGTTGCCTAAGGTCTGGTTCGGTGGATGACCTGAAGGACATGCATAGAGCTGCAGTTGCCACGGGTGCTAGAGTCATTCTCGTTGAAGGGCCTTCCACACGCTCCTGCCGGGATGTTTTCAGATTTTCTGTTTCGAGTCTGCTGTTTGGCTTCTTGCTGCGAGCAATCCCAAACGGCACTGCCTGATGTCAGAGCAGGACTTCCACAAGAAGAACGAGAAGCTCTTTGACGAGCATTCTCTAAACTTTCAGGTGGATCACGATGCATTTCTTGATTCACCGTCCTTTGCAGAGAGTTTGTGAGAACACGCCTTGCAAATTCGTTCCTTTCTTGACGGTATGAGCATGCTTGGGCTAGGGCAGGCTGGATGAACGACACGCATTTCTCGCCAGGAGGCGATGTCCAAAATTAGACTTCTGACCTTGGCCACCATGGCTCGGGGACAGTCCGTGCCCCGTGCATTAGCTCAGATGCGCCGGTGCACCTTCGAAGATGTTTTTCAGGTCGGAACTCCCTTTAGATGACATCGCCAAGCGCATCCAGGACCCTTCGACTTCCTGTTTTGTAAGTGCCCCTTGCTGTTTTCACGTTGCAGGAAAGCCCCACCGCCGTGGAGCCGTGGGTCGTTCGGGCGATCTCCGAGGGCGTCATCGATGGGCGCATTGACCAGCTGAACCGGAAGGCCGCGGCGGCCGCAACGCCGTCCGAGTTCTTGCATGTAGCGCTCCAGCAGAGCCTTGCATGGGAAGGTGCTGGTGAAATCCGCCTTCTTGCGCAAGTTCGAGAAGGAGGTCGTCGAACACGGCACACTGATGTCTCGTGGTTTCTACCGGATGCACCTTCTGAAGGAGTGGAACTTCCTGGATTCCAAGCCGTGGCCACGGTCTTGCTTGCGTTTTCTCTCCGGTGAAAGTGCGCTTTGCAGGCTCTCACATTGGATCGAGAACTTGGAGCAGGTGATCAAGTTCCTGGGTGAACAGAAGAACAAGAGCGAGGCCAGGCTTCCCCCGACGACGCGTCCCCTCCGCCCCCCTACTTCCATGTCCGAGAGGCTCTCAATGCCTAAGCCTGCCGCACAGCCGGAGAAGCGCGCGGAGACCTCGGACGAGGGGCTCTGAGGATCCGAGGGAGCTCAGAAGCTGGGGTGATGCTACTAACCGCTAGTAGGGCGGAACCGCGTGTGTCAGGTGCTCAAACGAGCGCCACCTCGCGCCACCTTGGCGGACACGTTTCCTGACCCCTCCGGGCAACCCTCACCTTCGGGCAGACGAGACCGGACATTTGCCTCCCTAGAGGTCATTTTTGTCGTGACTGTCCCTCCGGCAATCAGCAGACAAAAGCATTTGTCAAGGGTGAATGCGATGTCAGACTCGTTTTGATGCCCGAAGCATTGTGTACAAATTGCCATGCAGGCCTTCGTGCAATCTGTAGAGGGTGTAAGCGCTTGCGACACGGCTCAGGCGGAATGCCAGCTTAGCAAAATGTGACTGCATTGCCTTTGTTGGGATGCTTGGATGCTAGGGACTTCTGGCCTGCGGAGAGACGCTTAGTTCTCATGCAGGAGGCAGAAGATGCACTCGACCCCCTCCTGAGATGCCTTGCTGGCATGTTGAAGAATGACGGCGGGGACTGCCGCCATGTTTACGCTAGTCCGCTAGTCTTGATCCATGTCCAGGCTGCAAGGTGCTTCAGCCTGGACCTTGGCAGTTGGCAGTTGCAGCAGTTGCATGGAGGGACAAAGTGATCATCACCCATGTTGAGTACATGCGAGAAGTGGCATCAGTGTTTTGAAGAATTCAACATTGACAGCCATTGGGACCATCGACGGTATTGGACTTACATGTTAGCAAGCAAAACTGGCAACTGCCTGAGAGGCTGCAATGGTTTGGGGCATAGCTCCGAAAAATTGAGTCAATGGATCCAGTCTCGGATAGTAAAGTTGAGCGGGATCCTTCACCCAAAGTAGCACCTCAACGATCCTGAGCTCTTGTCTCGCGACATGGATCATGTGAGGAAGCATCGATAATGCCAATTCCCTCGTACCGCGAACTTGTAAGTGAACTTTGAACTGCGATGGACACCATGACAACCCTCTTGGAGTGGACAGCTTGGTCACACTGAGAGGTTGCAGCTGGCCATTTCCAAGCCCCGAGCTGCGCAGCTTTTTGCAGGACGACTGCATCAGGCCGACCCCTTGCGGAAGCACGGTCTTTCTGCTGTGTGTGTTTCAGGGGTTGCTTTGTGTCTTGGTTGGAGTTGACAGGAGGTACTGTAACTACTTACAAGGCGCATAGAACACCTTGAGGAAGGTCCTACGTTGAAGCTCTTCAGAGACGAGAGTTTCGGCTTGAGGCCCTGGCCCGGCGACTGCCGGTGGTTTTGGAAAAGGCGCCGGCCGCTCTGGTGCTCCCCTGGCCCAGGGCTTACAGGTTTTGGTTAGTCGGGGTTTCGGGCGTTTAGGGTTTCGGGTGTTAGGGCTTTGGGTTTTTGGGTTTGGGGTTTAGGTTTCGGGGTTGCGGTTTATGAGTTGTTGGATTTGGGTGTGGGGTTTCCCGATGTTCAGAGCTTTGGGGGTCTGGGTTTAGAGCTACCCCTCTGGCTCTCTCGCTCACTGTATCTCTCGCTCCCTCTCCCTCCCTCTCTCTCCCTACCTATCCCTATACACTCACACGTGCATGCACACATGTCTGTACATATGTATACATATGTATATACACATACATAGGTGTGTTCTTTCATATGTATGCATATATATATATATATCTTTATTTATACATATATATATATATGTATGTATGTATGTATATGTGCTTGGTATGTATGTGTGTATATTTACGGACGTATGCATACATATATGTGTGTGTATATATATATATATATGTATATGTATATGTGTATGTACACATATGTATACAGGTATATGTCTGTTGGTGTGTAAGTTCAATATCGCAAGCAAGAGTGCTGGTAGCTGTATCTGTTGGCTGTGGAGTTTCGGAGCTTCTCGGTCTTCTGGAACTCCTTTCGCGATATTTCCCGTGGTTTTGGCGAGGAGGGAGATACAACCCTGAAGTCTCTACCCGAACTGCGAACCCCAAATAATGGTGTCAGAGTCTTGAGGCTGGAGTACTACGCAGAGCACGGCCTTGTGGATCACGGCAACGTCGCCGTTTGGGAGCATGCCGAGCCCTTGGGCTCCAGTTGCAGCGAGACGGCCGTTTTTTAGGCCGCGACGGGGAATGGAAAGCTCACTCACTAAGTTGGTTACTCTTGCGAGAGCTTGAATCAGCAAGGCTGGCAAGGCGCTCCAGGCGTCTTTCATGTCGGATGACGAGGTGAGGCTGGTGTTGCTGCGTCCAAAGCCGATGTTTTCTATCGGGTTGCGCAGGAGGCCCGGCTCTTTCAGATCCAGGACAACACAGGGCTGCACCGTGCTGCGATGAGTCCGTTTCGGATGCCAGGCCTTTCTGTGTCAAGAGCCTAGACGAGCCTGACGCAGTGACGGCAGTGCAGATTCCGCGCTGCCGGGATGAGATTCGACTATTGGAGCACTTGATTGCAGTGGCCGAAGGAGCGCGTTCCGCTTTGGGTGTCCGAATGCCTCCCCATGGTATCCAGGCAGTCGGTGCACACTTCTTTTGACTGCAAACTGGCATCAAGCCCTTCAGGCCTTCGAGTGCTATTGTACCCTTGGCTGCAATGGAGGTGGAGGCACAGGAGGGCAGACCTGCGCTTTTGAGCCTGTGACATGTTGGTCTTGGGAGCCACAGGGAGAGTAAGCCGGGGCCACCAAGCTCAAGGCTTCTGATGTTGTTCATGTTACACCCGCAGAAGGATATGACTTCAATCTTCAAAGCCGCAGCTGCTGGGGGATAAGAGCCCGACAACCAGAACCCATCAGTACATCACCTGACGACTTTATTTGTGTAGCTGGGTTCAGACTCCGAAAGGGAAGCATGCGCAAGAGCGCCTCCCATGGCGGGCTTCCGCGGGATCCAAAGCGCGATCCAAAGCAGCGCCGGGCCCTTCTGCGACACATCGACTTCGTCAAAGCAGGCCCCTTATCTCTACTCTCTTGCAGCCGTTCGGCGTGTTGAGTTCTGAATCTGAACGCAGGCTTTCCGGAGATCGTGTGCTTCGAGCAAACGGGTCACCGTCTCCGAGCCGAGGATCGACACGGGCAGCTGTCTTCTGCCCTGCAGAGGGGAGATGCCGAAAGTGTGCAGAAGCTTTGTGCCGTGGCGCTCTCGGATCCGGCCCTGCAAAGCACGGAGCTAGTCTGCACCTGCAAGAAGCTGCTGCGGCACCTCCTACACTTTCGGAAGCTCCTGAAGGATGGCCGTTCCTTCCTGCAGGGGATTCCCTGGGACTATCCGGCGGAGCAAGTTGACATCAACCTCGGTTTGCTGCGGAACTCGCAGTGGGGTCCCGGAGTCTGGGACGAGGACCTCGTGGCCCGGGCCTCATAAAATCAGCCACAACGCGACAAGAGCCGGTGCTGTCGCTAGCTATACCAACGATTTCGGATTCCACGTTTGGTGGATTGTTGAACGGGGGGGAAACAGAAGCGACAGGCACAGGAGGCATGTCAGCAAGCACTCGTAAGCTAACCGCATTTTTTGCCGGGTGGGATGTCTGTGAGGGTTCAGCGATCGGATCAGATCTGAAATCGTTTGGAGTCTTTAGGGTTCAGGGCTCGGGATTGGGGGTTCAGGGTCTTTGGGGTTTAGGGCTTAGGGTTTGGGTTGAGGGCTCAGCATATTGGGGCTGTTCAGGTTCAGGGATTAAAGGTTCTGGGGTATATCCGAGGGCTCGCTCGGGGGTGGAGGCCTTGCTGTTTGGAGTGTCGGCGCTCGAAATAAAGGTTTAAAGCTTTCATGTTGATGCGAAAATTTCAGGGTCTGTGTCCACGGTTATTGGTGGAGTGTTGGAGTCAGAGGTTGAGGCTGCGGCTGTGTTTCTCGTTTTTTATGTTTCGGGAGCTTTACGGTTTGGATGCGGGATCTGGTGGCGCTCCGCCTTTGAGGGTCAGGGGGTCTTAACCAGTTGTCCAATTGGCTTTCTGGAATTTGTTGGGTTGTGGGTTGGGTGGATCGGTTTGGAGACGGGATCAGGCGAATAGGTCTTTGAATAGGGTGGGCAGGTGTACTGAAAGGGTGCTTGCAACCTCAGTCATTTCACCCTTCACTGGAGGGGTGACTGGGGAATTTTGCAGGATTTCAGGAATCCGGATCTTATTTACAGGCCCGACTTTCTAGAATTGCAACCCGAATGCCCACCTTGCTAGCATGGGGAAGTCAAGCCGAGTCAAGCCAAGTCTGCAAGACGAAACCGGTCAAAGCTTCAGAGAGCTTTAGTTCTACGTTGGAGGTTTGGGCCTACTGTAGGGGCCCTCAACTTACACAAGTAGAGGCTCATTCAAGGATGAGGTGATTCCATGACTGTTGGCATTCGCTCAAATAAATAAAGGACAGTTCGAGGGTTCCGACACAGCTCCCGAACCCGTGCAGTTTAGACAGCGTCACAAAGGCCGACAACTGCATGCACAAAACGATTCACAACAACAAGCTCCTGCACGGCGTGGTGCATGTCTGGGTCAGATGTGAAACAGTTGCTCAGTTTACAGCATTATCTACCAATCGCGTGAGAGGTCTTTTAAGCGCGATTAGAATCCGTCTGCAAATACAATCGCAATTGAACTTCCAGGATGCCCAAACCCTACGATGCAGCAGCGGCAGCAGCAATAGCAGAAGTTGTAAGGAGAGGAGTGGTAGTAGTAGCAGCAGGAGTAGCAGTAGCCGTAGCCGTGTAGCCGTAGCCGTAGCCGTAGCCG